TGTGTACATATACCTCCTGCTAAACTTCTCTGGGCTTCCATTTCCCCGTCTAGTTGAACTAGGTGGCATCTAGGTACTGCACTCTGTGAGGTACCTCTGAGGCCTGGTACCTCTGTGATGAGTGGCTGGGCCATTTCTGTTGAGGGTTGGACAATGGGAGGGGGAAGAGCCTGCTGAGAGAATGGAGAAATTTTCCTCCTTCTGAGAAGTGAGTTGGGGAAAGGGTCTTGTCAGCTGCTTTGGGCATCATCAGAGAAGGCTGCCTGGAGGAGGCAGGCAAAGGAGGTTCGTTTCACTAAGTTAAAGGAGGGAAGGTAGAGAGGGCCTTTCAGAAGGGCTGCAGCAGACAGGCAGGAGGAGGAGCTGCCTGCCCGCATCTGTGTCTCCAGGCCTGTCTGCCCTGTGGCGTGCTCTCTCTCTTGGTCTCTACTCCCAGCGTCCTCCTATCCCCTGGTCCCATCCCCTGCTCTGAGTGGGCTGGCCCCAGCCAGCTCCCCCCAATCATACCGCAATCCCCCCCAGAGCTGAGCCCCGAGCCCAAGCCACGAAAGTTTCCTCTCTCCTCCTGCCAGGTTAAATTGCCCTCTCGGAATGCAACTGCAGCTTTCCCCCCGCAAGCTGCCTCTCCCCTCCTGGGCAGCTGCCTTTCCCCTCCTGGGCAGCCGCCTCCATGGTATGCATCCCACCCTGGGGTCCGGACTGGCGGAACATCAAAGCCTAGGGTAGCCAATAACCTCAAGCATTGGAAACCCTTCCATCCGTCCTTTCCTGCCAGTGGCCGCCTGCTGCCCGCTTGGCTGCCCCCCGCCTGCCTAGAGCTAAGCAGAGCTGGGCTGGACTGAGCGGAGCAGGCCTTGGGCCTGCCTGCCCCATTTGTTTCCTATAAACAGCACATGGGAATGTTTAGGAGGCTGGGGAGGACTTTTTCTCTGGGCCAGGCCTCCTCCCCCTCCTCCTGCCCCACAACTACCACAACCACTCCCCCCCCAGTCTACAATGAGCTACTTGTTAGAAGACAATTTTAATTTTGCTTAATGCAATTTCTGCTTGGGCTGGTGGGGGGGGCGGGAAAGGGGTGGCTGGACTCACTCCTTTGACCCTAGCTCTGCAGCTTGCTCATTCCTGAGGATGGGAGGGGAGCAGTCCCAGGCCTGGATGCCAGACTGGGGAAGGATGGAGGGACAGATAGCCTGGTACAGGTCAGAGCCCAGGGTAGGTATGGGCAGTGAGATCTCAGGATCACTGGGAGTAGAGCAAGAAGATCCAGCTTCCTTATTTTACAGATAAAGAAACTGAGGCCCAAGGTCACATAGCTAGTAATTAGAAGAGGTGGGGGTTGAGGCCCCCCCCCAATCAAGTGCTCTTTTCACTCAACCATGCTGCCTCACCAGTTCCAAGTCTCTTTCCCCAATCTTCCCCCAACATCCCTATGATGAGATTCATAGCCAGACCCCTCTAGAAATTCTTGCTCTGGCCAGAGGTGATCCCTCTTGTTCTCATATAGCCCTGGGAAAGGAAATATTACAGCTCATGCTGGTGGGAAGTTCTGACCGTAATAATAATGATCATAATCATAATAGCTGGTATTTATATCATGCTTGGAGGTTTGTTTGCAAAGCACTTTACATATGTCAATTGTTTGATCCTCACAACATCTGCTGAGAGAATGGGGAAATTTTTCTCCTTCTGAGAAGTGAGTTGGGGAAAAGGTCTTGTCAGCTGTTTTGGACATCATCAGAAGGCTGACTGGAGGAGGCAGCTGCTATTATTGCAGGTAGGTGCTATTATTATCCCCATTTTACAGATGGGGAAACTGAGACACACAGGCATTAAATAACTTGCCCAAGGTCAGAATTATTAAGTGCCTGGGGCAGTATTTGAACTCAGGTTTTCTTGACTCTAAGTCTTGGGGTCCCTTTGCTCTATCCCCGAGTCTTATGGCCCTGGTGCTGCCAATAATCAGGGTCCCTCCCCTTTGATTTCTCACTGTCTTACACCCCTGGTTTTTCACACTTCATTTTTTCACCCTCCCTGAAACCAGTCTAGCCTCAGGCTCAATGACCAGAGGCCTCCTGAGGCCCTTCTAGGCAGGCAGCTTCCCTTGGAGGAAGAGGATAACCACAGCAGGGTCACAGAAACTCCAGATCCTCCTGCTGCAAGGGGCCACAAAGCATAGCTATAACCTATACCCCACAGGACCGCAAAAGGGTCCCCTCTGTTACATCTTGAAGGGTGTTCCCCCAGCCTCTGATTGGACACCTCTACCAATGTGGAACTAACTTGTAAGATGACTATTCGCCTTTCGGACATTCTTGCTCGCTAAGCTCCCGGGCCTCACTGTCCCTGCTGTCTCTCAGAACCGGCCTGGAGATGGAGTTGCTCTGGTCAGAGGGCTGAGCTGGGCTATTCTGGAGGTGGGTTTAGGGCACCATAAGGCAGATTGCAATGTGTGTGGATGGATGGTCTCCAAACATCGAGGGAGGCTTCAAGAAGGTAAGGCTTCTCTGCGGGAGGCAGCCTCTCCTGGGGGTGGGGGTGGGGAATACATTTAGAGCTGGGAGGGGCTTTAGAGATCACTGAGGCCAACCTTCTTTCACAGAGAAGGAAACTCCCGCACCCAGATTAGTTAAGGGACTTGCCGAGGGTCACACAGCCAAGTGAACGAGGTGGGGTTTAAGGCCAGCTCTTCCTGGCCTCTTCCAAGTCCAGGACTGTATTTGTTTCACTACTTTAGGCGACCTCAGGCACCAGGACTCTGCTTCTGGGCTGCCCAGAGCTACCAGCTTAGCTCCAGCCAAACCGAGGAGGGTGTCAGCCCTAGCCTGGGCCTGACTTGGCTTGGCTTGGTGAATTTTTCTCACCCACCTCATTTCTAAGGCTAGGCCAGTGCAGCCAAGTATGCAGAGATCCTGGCTATTAGCCTGCCCTGCTTTCGGTCTCTCAATGGCAGCCAGTGAGCAAGGATACCTGGTGGATGAAGGCTCTAGCAGGCTGGCCAGGTGGGGCTGGGGCAGGGGGTGGTCAGCTTATTGCTATTCTATCTCCTCCCACCCCTAATCAAAGGGCCAGTAGTTCTAGTTTCCTGCAGATCTCCCTGGCACCTCAGGACCTGAGGAATTCTACCAGCCTCCCTCTATTTGGAGGATGGGGAGAGGGGGATCTGTTTGTACCTGTGATTTATTGGTGTCAGATACTTCTGGTGTGGAAACTCCCTCTATCCACACATATTAGAAACTGTTCTGCATCAAGTCCTAGAGTTCTTGGAGGTACGGAAAGGCCAAGTGCCCAGGGTCTTTCTGCTAGTGTGCGTCAGATGGGGGACTTGAATGGGCATTTACCTGACTCTGAGAACAACTCTCTATCCACTGAGACATACTGCCTCTACTCACATTGCCCACAAATGATCCAAGGGAAATTAGGTCAGGTCTCAAAGAAATTAGTGGGGAGGCATTGGAAGAGTAGAGAAAACTTCTAAAGAGTAAAGAAACTGCCCCAACCCCAACCAGGGCCCCAGCTGTGGCAGGACATGTTGGCAGAGTTCTGAAGCTCTGTGCCATGTAGGGAGGGGGTTAGAGGCTGTAAAACAGGGGCCCTGGGGAGGCTGATCCACTTCCCTCCTACTCCCCATATGGGGGCCCCTGCTGCGGCCCCTGCCTGTATTACTCTGTGGGCGCCAGGAAGCCAACTTCCATGGGTTTTTACTCTTTGCCTGTGAGTGGATTGGTTAGGGGACGCTAGCCCTAGGTGCAGAAGGCCCAGTTACCAGTGATTGGGGGGGAAACCTTATAAATGAAGCTTTGTTTCCATGGCTCCACGAGCCATAAAGCTGCCTGGCTGAGGGGGAAAGGAAATATCCCCAGATCTGACATTGTATAAACAGCCCACTTGGAAAGTGGGTGGTGTTGGGGGAGCAGAAGGGAGAGGTCGCTGTTATGTGAATGCGTGTGAAGAGGGGAGGGGGGAGAGGCAAGGCTGATGTCTCCTACGGCTTACTTCCAGAAACCACAAGACTTGGAATCAGGGAACCTGGATTCAGAATCTAGATCTGTTTAACCTGTGGGACCATGGGCCAATCCCTTTCCTCTCTGGCCTCAGTTTCCTCATCTATGAAACGAGGAAGTTGATCTCCAAGTCCCTTCCAGGTCCAAAGTCCAATGTCTCTATGATTACTAAATCATCAAAGTTGTCACCCCTTACCTGTCCTACTCCCCAGCATCCCCTCCCCCTAATAGCTGTCTATGGTTCCTTGAACAATTGACTTCCGCCTGCAGGCATGGACATCTCTAGCCTCAGAGACAGAAAGGAAATTTAGATTTCTGCTATATAATTACAGGAAGAGGTCTTCAGAGGCCTGCTCTCTGGCACTGTCCATTTCCATGTCTTTGGAGAAGAAAACTGGGACAGAGGTTATTAAAACAACAACAAACCCAACACTTTTGTTACTTTGAGATGTCTGGCCACAGGGGCTTTCAGAGGCCCCCAGGCCTTCCCGCACTGAGCAGACAGGTGGACCCATGTTCCTTTCCCTGAACATTCGCTGTGGACTGATAGAACCCAGAATATTTGGAAATACTCAGTATGAGTGGGTGCCAACCTGCTGTCGCCCTCCTGTGGCACAGGAAGCCAGAGCTACCTGCTCCAAGGGGATAAGAGGAGCCTTTCGGAGAACTGGTCACCCTGCTCACTCTCCCCTCCAGGAGGGTCTCGATGGTTCCAGGGGAATAGCTAACAGCAGCTTCAGTGTGAGCAAGATGAGCCAGCTTCCTCCACCCAGCCCAGCCCGCTTTTGCTGCCTACTCCACCCAGCCTGCTTCTCTTTCCAGGGGGTGGACAAGCTGGGCAATGTGGCTCTCAAGCTAAACAGCAACAGGAGGCATTCTCAGCTGAAGCGATGCCACTCTGCTGCCTTTGAGTCAGAAGAGACTTGAGCCTCAGAGAAGTTGGGTCCTACTTGCCTCTCACCCCAAATGTGGGATTGAATTTTGATTCACGGCCTTGAGTTTCATGTCACAAGCTCTTTATTGCCACCACAACTGACCAACAGTGGACATTTTACACATTCTTGCCCCCACCTTTCCCCACAGAACTTACTTGGTGCTTTGTAAGGCACAGGAGGAAGGAGGAGGGGATAAGCAATATTAACCTCCCCAAATTCACCACTGGCAGCCCTCCAGGGCTTTTCTGTCTTCTATGGCTGACCATTCCCAGAATCAAATGAAAATAGCATCTCAAACCCACCAATATGGCAGGGGTGGGGGGAGGGAGAGGTGTAGAGCCTGTAGCCTTCAACCCCAGTATTTTCACTGGCTTTCCTATCAGCATTTAGGAAAGCTGGCTTGGAGTTGAGACTAGGATTTGAACAGCAGTTACTAGTTGTTTGTCTGTGGGCAAGTCATTTTTTTCTCTGAACCCATTTCCTCATCTATAAAACATGAATAATATGTACACAATCGACCTTACAGGATTATGGTGCTTCAGAAATATGAATTATCACTTCAAAAGCCCCAAGAGCTTGGGTTCCCCTGGGGATTTTTCAGACACCAGAGGCCCCCTCAAGCCTGGCACACACATTACTGAATATTCTATGGTTAGCTGCCAGGGTCCCCAGAACTCTCTGCTCTCTTGAGGAAAGCTCTTACTTGACCACCAAAGGCAAGGTCAGGCTCTGGAGACCAGTACTGGCCCTTGCCTGCTAAGTGTGTCAGACTGGCCCCTTCACCCCAGCAACAGAATCCACAGGCCAGTTGGGTGGAGCTAAGCAGAGTACACTAGGAAATGGATGTGTCTGGGATTTCACTTACGAATGTGTCTTTATTGAAGAGTGTGTATATGTGTAGATATAAAAAGATGGACCCTCTGTGAAAAGAGGGCTTATTGCGGAACAGAAGACAAATTCCTGGGTGTGTTCCCAGAAGTCATCGCTTCCTGCACTGCTGGCTCTGTCTCTCCTGGCCAGCATTACCGCTCGTCACCAAGGATTGAGAGCCTCCTCCCTTTCCAGGTGCCCGCCCACCCAGCTTGCTGATGACTCTCACGAGGGCACAGAAGTTATAGGAATGGACAGATGCGCCAGGCTTTTCTCCCAATCAGGTCAAAGAAGGTTTTGCTTTGGAAAATTCAATCAGGAATGTAAAGTTAGCTTGAGCTCCTTCTGATCCAAGAAGCGAAGAAGTTTCCATCCTACCAGTTAGGGGAAGAGGAGAGAGGACTTTCTCCCTGGAGCATGAGACAATACCCACTGTGCAGAGTGAAATCAGTAGCACGCACTTGTGGGATAAGTGGAATATATCACACAAGTCTGTTTTTTATTAGCATGGAAAATGGAAACAAGATTAGAAGAATATATAACATCTTAAAGAGTCACTGAGTTCTCTAAGGTGGGGGCACTTTGACTTTACAACCCCAGGGAAGGGTTGAGAATTAGCAAGTGCCCTAGCTGGTCATCTCCACTGCCCTTGGAATGGTTATTCTTCTCCCGCTGGGAGGTTGTCCTCAATCCGCTTGATGAACCGCATCCTGATTTCTGTCACCCCATCTCCCTTCAGTGTGTCCTGAACAAACTTCACATCCACGGCCATCTGGACCTGTGCAGAGAGGAAAAACGGGGCTGTGGGCAGAGCCAGCTGCCTGCTTACTGCTTCACATAGCGGGGGCCTATCTTGCCAGTCCACCTGTACTTACCAATGGCCCTCGTCATAATTGGACCATTTTTAAAATCTTAAGTTTTGGTGGTATTTCTTCTTTTTAATCAGTAAATTCTGGATATGCACTCTCTTCAGTCCTACCCTTCCCAGGGAGATTCCCCTTGTAACCAAAAAAATCTACAGCAGCTACCCCAGCCACCCAAGCGATCAGAGCCTCGATGAGCCCTTCACCTCTCCGAGGGAAGGAGGGAGGTGGGTCTCCTGTGGCGGGGAGATCAAGACTGGCTATCACAGACACAGAGCTTTCCCATCTCATTCAATGCTCTTCTCACTTACACTAACACAGTCATCTCATCAAGCTGTTTTCCTTCATCCTGCTTAGTGTCCTTCCCATCAGTCCATATAAGTCTCCCCACGTTTCTTTAAACACCTCCTATTAATCCTAACTTACGGTGCAATAATATTCCACTACATTCAGATGCTACAATTTGTTCAGTCATCTCCCACTTCATGGGTACTCACTTTCTGTATAGTTGTCTGCAACCATAAAAGGGACTGCTCAGGAATATTTTGATTTCTATGGGCCCCATCTGACTTTCCTCTCCTTAAGGCACATGCCCAGCACTGGGGACCTCAGGATCAAGGGGATGCAGAGGTGGATGACTTTGCTTGCATGATTCCAAACTGCTTCCACAACACTTAGATCAATTTGCAGTTCCACTAATTGCACATTAGTGCGCCTGTCTTCCTGTGATCACTCTGACACCGACTATTTCCATCTTACAGCATCTTTGCCCATTTGCTGGGTGTGAGGTGAAACTTCAGAATTTTAATTTGTATTTCGGATTATGAGTGATTTATATAGTTGTTGAAGGTCTGCAATTCTATTTTTGAGAACTGTCTGTTTTTATCCTTTGACCTCTTATCTACTACTTGGAAGCCAGGCCACTTTTCTCAGACTAACCCTTCCTTAGCTATCTTCTCTCTCCCTTAAAGACTCAAGACTGCTCCTAATCTCCCCCAAACAGTTTATGGAGTGTACTTTGTAATTCTTAAAGGGTTTTAGAAAATGTCGCCAATTATTCAATGACAGTGATGACCCTCTTTAGCTCTAGCGGCCTCAGTGAAGGGTCACCACTAACAGCTCTAGGTAGTTACTTGCATCCAGTTGGGGCCTGAGCACAGCTTTTTAGTCAAAGGCAGCCGGTGGTGCAGACAACAGAGAGCTGGGCCTGCAGTCAGGAAGGCCTGAGTTCAAATCCAGCCTCAGTCACTTACTAGCTATGTAATCCTGGATAAGTCACTTCACCTCTGTCTGCCTCAGTTATCTCCACCATAAAGTGGGGTTAAATAATAGAACCTACCTCGAAGGGTTGTTGTGAGGATCAGATAAGATAATATTTATAAAAAGCACATAGTAGGCACAGTATAAATGCTTATTCCCTTCCCTCTTTATTCCCCTCCCTGTTCCCTTCTTGCCCCAAATCATTTATTTATAGATAGACAGACCATACAATGTCCCCCAGGGAAGAAAGGGCCCCCCTCCCCTCATATGCATAATGAGAAATACCTCATCAAGTCAACCAGTGCTACGGCAGGGACCCTGGCAAGGCTTAGGGGAGGCTGTCTGACCTCAAGTGCAGTCAAGGAAGGAGGCCCAATACTATGCAGAAAAGTCCCGGGCAGGTCAGCCTACTACAGCCCCACTCCTGGAAAGAAAGAGTTGTACTCACCATCTCCAGGGCTCCCCTTAACACCCCACACAAGAGATTGGAATAAATGAGGGATGAGTGGTTATCAGGAAGCTCCACGAAATCGACCAGGGGGTTGTTTTCCAAGATCAAGGAAAATTCGTCACCAGCGGGGCTCCAGTTGGTGATGCTTGGGGTGATGCCCAGGTACATTTTAAAAGCTACCTATTAGAGGTACACAGAGCAGCAGGGGTAAAGATGGGGCAGGGAGTAATCCTCCTTTCTCTTCCTTCCCATAGTACTTTCCTAGTAAGGTGACTACACTGGAAATACCCGGGAATGAGAGGCAGGGGAATGATGTTTGGGGCCGAGGGTTTGCCCTCCAGAAATAATTAACGGAAGGGCATTTTTGTCCATCCAAGTCTACGTCCTCTAAGGTAAAACACTGCAGGCTGAAGCTCCCAGGAGAAAGCACCGCTCACTGTTGGCTAGCATTGTAAGCATCTGAACCAGATGCACAAAGAACATTCAGAGAAAACAGTCATAGCTACCTAAGGCCCAAGGGGTAGCTTCTCCACCTCTGCCTCCTCTCCTGACAAAGTGGACCTTAGGTCATGCTGTGCATTTCTTCCTAGGGCACATCATTTTCTCTGTATAGGAGGTCACCTCCTCACCTCCTTATCAGTTAAATGGATAGACAACGTTGGTTCTACGCTGCAAGAAGGAAGGCTCTCTCACAACCATTTGAGCCTGACAGTTAGAAGTATATGATAAGGAGAAATGGTCTCCATGCTGGAACAGAAAGAACCTCTTTCCATGACTGCCCTCAAAAGAATTGCCAACAGAACATTTCACATTTTTGCCACATTGAGGAGAAGCTGATTTTGATTTAAGTGGATTTTAGAATTCACAGGGGTGTCTCCTATGCCCAACCCCCTCCCTCACAACTCAGCCACGTCTTAGCCAGCTCCTAGAGGTTCTGGAAGTAAGACACAAAGTGTTCTGCAACTATAACAGCTATTAATTAGCTCCCCAGTACAGCCAGAGTCCCTTCTGAAAGAATGAAGGAGGGGATGCCTGGGGGCCCTTGGGAGATGACCTTGGCAATAACATCAGCTGTTTCCCGAAAGTCATGGCACCTGCCAACGTTTGACCGAGCCAGGAAATCTTCAATCAATCGGACACCAATATTGTAGCCCCTGGAAAGGTGATCAGACAACAACAAATCACAGGGTAACCTCAAGAATATGAGGTTGTCACAGCTTGGGGGTGAAAGCAAAGGATTCCAAAGCTCCACAATAAATCTAGGGAAAGTGTGACCAAACAGCTGGTACTGAATGAGAACAGCTTCAAAGGAAGCCTCTGCCAAGTTGCAGAAGGACAATGAGGCCCCAGAACACAGGGCCCCCTGCCCCATACCCCAGCTTCCCAAAGAACAAGAGTTCTTGCCTCAGGCATGACTCACTCACATTCTGTCCAGTTGCTTGTTCACATCTTCGTCGTTTTCATAGTCCTTGCAAAGCTGGGTGACCAGAGCTCCGTAGGTCAGCGTAAAAAGCTCAGAACTCTAAACGAGATTCAAAATGCAGTCAGTACCAAACACAGAAAAAAGAAAGGATTGTGTAAATGGGGTAAAAGATACTGGTGCTACTTTCAGGCTTCAGAAGAAAGTCACCTGTCTGCTGGGAGAAAAAGTCAACTCCAGCAAAGTTGCAGTGAGCCTGGACACCCAGTACCCAGCCCAGGACTAAACCAATAGAATTTGGGCTAGGCTCATTTAGGGAAAGGGTGGAGGAAGGCGCTTTGCCCGCGAGCTCCTGTCTAGCAGTCAAGTGCCAACAACTTATGCTAACTACTGGCCAAGGCTGGATTCCACATAGCAGAGGCTGCCATCCCCTGGTACAGAGCCCACAGCTCAGACCTAGACTACGAGACCCTAGCTCAGGAGACGAACCATGGCTCCCCCTGGTGTACTTGGACTGTGAATCCAAGTCATCATTAGAAGATAGCTGAATGTTCCAACATTTATCAGTTATCCTCTGCTCATTAGCATGTAATTTGAATGGTTTCTTCAGAGTCCCCAGGGAACGCCTGTCCAAAATAACTAGACTGTAGCCTCTGCAGTATCTTTACAACAGCTCCAGCCCTTGGACAGAAAAGGCACTGCTAGTCAGGAGGGAAGAAAACCAGGCCAGGGCTACCTGCACCCTCTATGACAACAGATTACAGCCTTCACCCTGAAAAAATATTATCAGGAAAAACAAGGTTCCCTCTCTACATATAGCTCCAATGTTTCCTAGGTGGAAATGACTTTGTCATGCACTGGGTTTGCTAGGTGTTGTGATGCTGTAGGCTGTGCAGTTAGGAAACAGGATGGGGAAGCAATGGAGGGGAGGGCTGCAACATCTGAAAACATTTTTGATCCAGCTCAAAATGTTGCCCTGAATGCCTTTCAACAACAGCTGTCAGACAATCACAGCAACTCTTTTCTCAGATAGATGAAGAAACCTATCACCTACCATGAGACGCAGAGATGCCGAAGGTAAAGGGAATGGCAAATACCAATACTACAGAATGAAAGCAGCAGGCAGGTGGAAAGAAGGGAAAAAAGACAATATCAGCGTTAAATAAGAAAGACAGACACATATGGGCAAGACCACAATCTGTACAACTAGGTCACAAAGAAACCCGATATGCTCCCATCTAAATAGGATGAGTAGGTGAGTGAAATAAATTAAGACATTTAGAGAATTGCCATACTGAGGTTAAGGCCCTTTGGAATTGAGACACTGAGGACAAAGCTGAAGGTCTCAGGCTAAATGAGCACTTCAGTTGCTTTGTCTCATCTCCCAATAATAAAGTTACACTTTAGAATAAGAGATAAACTGTGGGTTGACTGCATTTAATACTTTATATACATCCACGATATGGTGCTGTGCTTGAACTAAGAGCAAAGAAGATCTGGGTTTGACACTAGCTGTGTTACCATAGATAAGGAACATTTTCTTTGAACCATAATTTCCTCCTCTATAAAATAGGTTTAATCATATTGGTAGAATCTCACAGGGCTGTTGGGTGGATCAACAGAGTGTATATAAAACACTTTTCAATCTTTAAATTGCTAACTAAATGCCAACTATTACTTTGAAGGATCACTGATTTCACAGGCGTGGGAACCCCCTTCACTGATACATGCCCTCCATACCTTCTCATGTTATGTTATTCAGATCCACGTCTGCTCAACCTCCAAAGGTTTATCTAGGGGGCTTTCCTTTGAGACTGTTAGTATCTTGGTGGAAGTAACATACCGCAGCAGCTATCCCTCGTCTCTCATTTTCAATACATGTCAGCCTCACTCCTTTCCCATCATAATGGTGATGCTTTCTTTTTTCCAGAAAGCTTTCTACTGTTACACCAGTTGATTCTCATAATACTCCTATGAGACAAGTAGGTATCCCCACTCTACAGGTGACCTCCATGAAAGTCCTCCAATATGATGCTTCAGCAAAATACACAACAAAATGAAAGAGGCTGGTCTAACCATGCATACTGGGAAAACAAAAATGGATTAATAATATTTCTCAGATTATGACATGCAGCTGGCTGTCTATAAAATTAGTCTAAATATGTATATCTTGGACAGGCGCTGAACTCATAACTGAACAGGAAGAGATATTGTAGATCTCATTTGGGAAATTGCAAACTACTTGCTCATTCTTGCAAAAGCCTGTGTTTTAAACACCAATATTCTCCCAGTGATGTTATATGGTTGTGAATCAAGGAATACCATGGTCTTGGCAGAATCAAAATTACAAATAACTAAAAGGCAATGGAAAGATACATGATGGGTATAAGTAGGCTGCAAAAATGTTACCACTGGTGAGTTGTATGTAAGAAGTGCCATGAAAGGCATTGCTGAGGACCCATATGGGAATTAAAAAGAAAGTAAGCAGGTCACGGAGCAAGAAGGAAGTACAGAGAGACAGTCCATGGGGTACACTGGTGCTTCCAAGATATTAAAAGAACAAGAGGAAAGCATTCAGCCCATTGAGTAGATCTTCTAGGTATAATTTATGAGAAAATACACACAATAATTGTACGGGATGAGAAGGCATGAAAGAATTAGGATCTGCATTAGTGGAGGAAACATCTATAATAATGAAATCACAAGTCCAAAGTATCAAAGTTTAGAAATGATAGAGCTTTTTAGTAGTAAAGTCAGGATTATAATCTAGATCCCAGAATTCCTGGGTCCAGTGATCTATTTCACTAGGCTGTCTCCTACAACTTTATTGTTACTAATCACAGTCTTTTTATAGTATAAAAATAACAATAATAATACACCCAAAACATTAAAACCAGCTGTGAAAGCCTGAGATAGTCATGCTAAGAATCACAAAGTTCCTTTAACTCAATTGAAAAGTTCTAACCAGGGCATCTCCAGGAGACAATTTACCAAACATGGCAAGTAAGGACAGGTATTAAGGAAGGATTTTTTTTTTTTTTTAAGTAAAGTCAAAGACCTGACATTTGCAAGCCTTGAGCATGAATGGATGGAGTACATCCAACAATTACCAGTCCAGAGATTTGGCCTTACTGCATTAAGTCATGAAAGCTTTCTATCCATTATTAACAATCTGAAGTCGGGATATTTGCCCTTAATATCAGAAGCCCCAGTTCATAGTGATGCCAAGTAATCTGCAAATCATAACCATTTATACTTTTCACATGAGGTCAACAAGCATTTTATTCGTGCTGCTGCCCCCAATTCCCTGCCAAGAACAACAGGTACCAAGCAATAACAAAATCTTGTCCAATATCACAGAGTCAAATTCTCCCAAATCGAAGATGGAGGCCCCTAACTTTTGACTCTTTATTCCCCACCCTCATTTCTAGGTCTCCACTTAAGAACCCAACTTTTCACACTGTAAAATGTAAATATTCTACTTTCTGAGGGCTTTTAGGCAGCACAAATTAGGCTCCCAGAAGGAGCATCGAAAATCTGCTATTTGTCAGTTAACTTCTCCCAACTAAAACTGGGTTTCTACCCCTAAACTTAAAGAGTTTGATATGAATGATTAATTGCCCTCTGGAGCCAGCATTGGAACCATCATTCTAATGTAAGAACAAATCAATCCAGCACTGGCCAGCATTCAAGTCTCATAACAAATCTGTGGGATAAGTCAAATATTATTATCCCCATTTTACAGATGAAGAACAATAACTTTAAGGATATGATTTTCCCCTGTTTGCTGGGAAAGTTGGTAAATAAAGAGGTTCTCTTTCCCGGTATCCCACTTTCTTGTTCACCCAGACATTTTCCTCCTTCAGGTCTTGGATCTCAAAGGCCAACACCTCTGATCTCTAAGGAATGGAGATTATAAACTCAGGTTACTAACAATAAAGAATGGAGATGGCTGTGATTGGGGTCACTGGCTGGTTTTTCAGTAAGGATTAGGGAGTAGTCATAGACAGAAATAGCAAGTGAATTGCTTTTGTTGTTGATACAATACCAAAGAGGGAAAGTATCCTATCTAAGCCCACACCAATATTTAGACAGCTGACTCTGTATAGTGAGTGCTTGTAGGTACAAATTATTTTTCCCAAGCAATGAAGGATGGAATGGGAAGTGACTGAAAACCAGGCAGCAGCAAACAATCCTGAGCTGATCAGTGGAGAACCAGACTGCCAAGTTAGATGAACTCTCTCTCTCTCTCCCGTAGCTGTCACCTCTAAAATGTTCCTATCTCCAGGAAAAGAAAGTCAACTGCTCATTTATATTCCCACTCCCTGCCACTAAATTCCAAAAGAAATCTTGGTGTTTTTTTCCCAATAAAATCTGGCCACAAGACTTTTGAGGTTGACATTGACAAAAGTTCATTTTTTTTTTCTTAAGGAAGATAGTGTGAACATATACATAGAACTGG